TTGGCTAATTTCATTTATCTAGAAGTTTCTTACTCCTTAAAGTTCGCCATTGCGTATACTGTTTGTCACAACTCATACGCCACCTGTATTAGGTCAATATTCAAAAGATTGAATCAAATCTAATAAGTAATTATTATCATATTTCGAAATTTGAAAGTGAACATTTTAAACATATTATATAAATCGTAGTTATAACAGCTACACAATACCCTCATTTCAGTCCTGGTTTCTAAAATCCCTTTTTTGCGAAAAATACAAGAGACATGAACATCAAACTTTATATTTTTAAAAGTTAACATTTTCACTTATATAATAGGCATATAATTTTATATTTATATAATAATTAACTTCAAGGGTAAAAAGAAACAATAAAGCTTACCGATACGTTTCCTGGCATTTTTGTTTCTAAGGATTAAAAATCTTTTAGTTTTTTTGAATGGTGTAGCAAAACTAAAACTTGCATAAAATATTTCATAAAACTTGGTTGAATTTACATGCAAGAACAAAATTAAATATTTAAAAAAAAATAGGAGCAAAAACAAACGAGGGTAAATATTCTAAAATAAATATTTGGAGCGTATTAAAAATTTGTTATAACAAAATGGGCAGCAAAAGGAGTCAAAATTTGTATTAGTGAATATAAATAAGTAGAGCAGTAATAGGTAGTTAAATAATTATGAAATGCTGGCGTTTTTGCAAAAAATGAAAATTTGTTGTTTTTGGTTAGAAAGGAAAACTACAATGAAATTAAATAGAGGGCGGATTCTCCAAAAAAATTAAGAAGCAATGAAACTATTATTAACTAAAATTACTTTTGTTTAGATAATTCTTAAGGAAAAACCTTATCAAAGCAAGGATGGCAGTTGGCTCTCGCATTTCGTGTGTATTCAATGGTGGGATAGGATGTGGAGATGATGTTTGGAGAGCCACTGCAATCCCGTGAAAGCTTTTTCCAAGAATTATCATTGGCTTATCATTGGATGTTACAATTTGTTAATTGTTTAGCCAAAGTAAAAGCCTAAAAATACGTATCGACTTTGGATTTGTTTGGAATTGAATTTTAATTGTCTTTAGAAAAACAAATTACTTTTTTTTTAAATATTATAGGGAAGTTTTGTTGTTTACTTGATGTTGTTTTGGTTTGGATAGTTGTTGTTGTTGTTGTTATTTTTTAGATAAAAATATTTTTTTCTTAGTTTATTACCCTACACCACTATGGGGAATAGGCGGACGATTTAAACAATTCAACATATTAAATCGGGATGGATTTTTTAGGAAATTTTTTTTGCTATGGATTAGAAGAAGAAGGCGTGAATTTGTTAAGTATTTTTTCATGTTTTTGGACTAGAGGAGTCGCGGATTTTTCAAAAATATTTTTTTTTTCAAGGACTAAGGAAGCCGCAATTTTTTTTCAAATATTTTCTTCGAGGACAAAAGATGGGTGTTTTTTTTTTAATATTTTCTTCAAGAACTAGAGAAGGGTGGCTTTTTTTTAAATATTTTTTCAAGGACTAATATTTTTTTAAAATATTTTTTATTCAAGGACTAAAGAAACCGTGAATTTTTTTTTAAATTTTTTTCAAGGACTAAACAAGTTTGGATTTTTAACATATTTTTTCAAGGACTAAAGAATGCGTGGATTATTCAAATATTTTTTAATATGAGCTAATATGTGCCGCGAGTTCACCTATTAGAACTATAAAAAAAATGGGTTGAGGCGTCGGGTTAGATGCCCACTTTCGGAAAACCCAACCAACTATGAAAAATCAAAGAAAAAGAAATCCAAACCCCCTAATGTTGACGCAAACATATAAAGGACCACGATCTGCGAATCTGAACTTGGAATGTGCGCACGTTGTACAGAACAGGCGCAGTATTCGCTTTGGCGGATGTACTCACGAAGTGCAAAGCCGATATTATTGCCTTACAGGAAATGCGATATAAAGGGACTGACATAAGTAAATCAGATGATTACGCCCTGTATTATAGCTGCCATGAAACAAGACATGAATTTGGCTGCGGATTTATGGTTAACAGGAGAATAAAATACATCGTCTCCAGATTCACTCCAGTAGATGAGCGAATTGCTATAATCAGTCTCATTTGCGCCCATGCTCATAAAGATAACCACGTCGAAGACATATTTTACGAGCACCTAAAAACAGCATATGATCGTTGCCCTGGCCATGACATTAAAATGCTGCTAGGAGATTTTAATGCAAAAATCGAAAGGGAAAATATAATATCAGCCTCTATGAAGAAACATTAGGCAACGGCATGAGGTTGATTGACTTCGCGGCAGCAAAAACATGGCAGTTAGCAGCCCCAAATAGTAGAAGCCTACTCCTAGAGATAACAGAAGCCAACTCCGCTCAACTTACCCAACTGCTTGACGAAAGCACCCCTTGTCCCGATAATAATATAGAAGCAGAATGGCAGAGAATTGCCCAAAAGCAACACTTGGATACCAAAGACCACCATCAAGAAATTCGTGGTACAATCAGTGTCGTAATGCTACTGATATGAAAAACGCAGCATGCGATGTAGAACTATCGTAAGAAAAGGAGAGGGGAGAAACGTATTTCAGAAAAAAACAAAGAGCAAGAAAAACGTGATCGCGAGCAAATCGAGATGTACAGGAATCAGAATTCAAGTCCGAAAATTCTACCAACGGGTAAAACACCAATCCGAAGGCTTTGGTGCAGGCACATCCTCCTCCTGTAGAGAAAAACCATTGACAGATACAGACAGCGTGCTGAGGATCTGGAAGGAGCATTTTGAAAAACTTCTGGTATCAAATAGTAGCGGTGAAGTGAATACCCCAGAACCAATAATAGATGACAGTATAGAGTGTATACCACCTAGCCATGATGAAGTCAGAATAGCAATCAATCGACTGAAGAAGAAAATAAAGCAGCAGGTGCGATGGGTTACAAGCCGAACTATTCAAGACTGGTGGTCAGATGCTGGTTAGGAGCATGCACCAGCTGATAGTACAATTTGGCTAGAAGAATGCATGCCCAATGATTGGAACCTCAGCATCCTGTGTCCCCCGTGCACAAAAATGAGGCAAGACGATATGTGACAACTATAGAGGAATTAGTCTCCTTCCCATCGCATATAAAGTGTTATCCAGTGTGCTGTGTGAACGACTGAAGACTGACATTATTGGACCATACCAATGCGGCTTCAGACATGGCAAATCCACCATTGACCAGAAAACACATCGACACAGTCCATCTATTCGTTGACTATACATCCGCATTCGCCAGCCCTATCCGTTCAGAGCATGTCTGCGTTTGGCATTCCTGCAAAATTAATTCGGCTATGCAGGTTAATTTTAACAGGCACAAGATCAGCAGTTAAAGTCGGAAAGGACCTCTCGGAGCTCTTTAATACCGAACGTGGATTCAGGCAAGGCGATAGTTTGTCGTGTGACCTTTTTAACATCCTGTTGGAAAAGGTCATACAAGAGGCAAAAGTGAACAGAAATGACACTCTGTACACCAAACAACACATGTTACTCGGCTACGCCGATGACATCGACATAATGGGTCGAACATTGAGAGCGGTAACAGCCACCTTTGAACAAATTGAGAAGGAGTCTGCCAAAGTGGGCCTGGCAGTAAACGACGAGAAGACCAAGCTGATGGTATCGACGCGCAAGACGTCCAGTAGACTGGAATCAACTGTGGAACTTGAGAACTACAGCTTCGAGGTAGTCAAAGATTTTATATATCTTGACACAGCCATAAATAAAACGAATGACATCAGTTTTGAAATTCGGAGAAGGATTGTGATGGCCAACCGGCCACCTCCCGCCAGACCAAACTCACACTCTACAAGACGCTGATATTACCCGTGCTGTTATATGGATCTGAAGCATGGGTGAAGCCAGCTTTTGAAGTGTTTGAGAGAAAATTTCTCCGAAAGATCTATGGGCCGATCTGCGTTGACGGTGAATATTGCCTTCGAATGAACCCTGAGTTGTACCAGCTATTCTCGGACATTGACATTGTTGCAGCGACTACGTTGGCTAGGTCATGTTTTGAGAATGGATGAAGATGCCCCAGCCCAGAAGGCATATAAAAGCGAACCAGCTGATGGTTCACGCAGAAGGGGAAGGCCACGAATAAGATGGAAAGGCCAAGTCGAAGATAACATTGCCGAAAATGGTCTTTCAAATTGCAAAAACTGCGCAAAAGAAATCTTTTCTAAGCTCGGCTTATGGAACGAAAGTTCTGTCTCAAGCCAGCTAAGTAAGTAAGTACATCAGACGTGATTTTTTTAATTTTTTTCAAAGACTAAAAAAGGAATGGGTTATTTAAAATATTTTTCTGGAGGACCTATACAAGTCGTGGATTATTTCAAATATTTTTCTGGAGGACCTGTACAAGGCGTGGATTGAAAATATTTTTTCAAGGGCCAATGGAGTTTTAAAAATAATTTTAAATACAGGGCTTGGATTTTTAGTGGTGTAAGGTATTTTATAAAGTCGGCGCAGCCGACTAATTTTTTTATTTTTTTTAGTTTTGGATTTTTTGGGGGTTTTGTTGTTGTTACAGTTGTTATTGGTTTAATTGGCAGTTACTTTAGTTGTTGTCAATGTTTTGAATTTTTTACGGATTAGGAATGTGGTTGTTGTTGTTGTAAATGGTTTCGCAAATTTTTACCAAATATTATAATAAATACTATAATTATTATTTTTTTGTAAATGCTTATAAGTTATGTCTTAAAGATAAGAAATAGAAACAAGCTTAGTACAGCTTTAGGCTTGATTAAGCTTTTTATGTTTAGTTTCAATATTTTTTTTTACAAGACTTAAATGCTAATGTTTATCATCGTTATGGTTTTAAGAAGAAAAAAGTAAATAAAAAATTATTAAAATTAAAAAAAATAATTTTTATAAAAAATAATTAAAAAATAAATAAAAATATAGAAATAAATAAAAAAAAAAATAAAAAAATAAAAAAAACTAGTAATAGTATTTATTTGCGAACCTGTCCCCGCTATCGGCTCCGGTATTTGGACCTAAGCCATCTGGACCGCCATCGGCTTCAGAAGATGAGCCACGCGACAGTACCCCTCGTATCTCACCTGGTATTACTTCTTCACTGCGATTCACCGTAAATGAGCTTTTTCCCTTCTTTCCAAAGCCCATACGTCTTTTACGACCTTTTCGTTTTATATTTTTTTGAAACATTATTTTTTGGTTAGTTTTTTTTTAATGATACAATTTTCTTTTTAAAACAAACTAAATGATTTTAAATGATTTTTTTTTTGTTTTTTTGTTAAATGCAATATTTAAACATTCAAATTGTTTGGTTAGAAAACGAATTATTAAGCGAACGATTTTTTTGTGGTTAGTAGTTTTTTTTAACTAAATGAAATTGTTAGTGAAATTAAAAATAAAACATAAATATATATTTTTTGAAATAAATTATAAAAATGATTTCTAACTGAATGCCATAACTAAACGAGTCAAATGAAAACATTGAATTAGGAAAATATTTTAAAATACAAATTTTGTTTTTGGAAATAAAATAACGGCCACGAAGTTTCTACAATAGATTATGTTTCAGGTTTTTTTGTTTTGAAATCGTGGTATGATATAAAATTTTGGTAGTGTACTAAGAACGATTTTTTTTTGGTTTTGGGTTTCTTATATACAAAATGTAACTGTAAAAGTGAACGGAATTTTTGGAACACAACAAAACGCTCATACCTGTTGCTGATAGCTGGGATGTGGAGTTGGATTTTTTACCCATGCCACTGCCACTTTTGGGGGAACGTTCTTGGTCCGCAGCACCTTTTTTACGATCTTGCGCCGTATCGGATAGACTGCCATCTGTGAAGGGGAGAATAATATTAAATTAGATGTCAAAATAATTTTTATGAGGACAAGACTATTTCAAATATTCTTTTCAAGGATCAAGAGGATTTTTAAAATATTTTTCTAAAGTCTACTATAGGCTTTGATTTTTTTTTTAATATTTTTTCACAAGGTCTAGAATTTTAAAATATCTTTTCCAAGGTCTACTATAGGCCTGGATTTCTTAACATTTTTTTTAAGCTCGACTATAGACGTTGACTTTTATATCCTTCACCACACTGAAACGAGATAGACCCATGGTTCCTTTTGAGAATATGCATAGATACACTTCCTGAGTTGATTTACGCATGTCCGTCCGTCCACGTATTTTTGTGAACAAAGTACAGGTCGCATTTATGATCCGATTTGGACGAAATTTTGGCGCAGCTCACTTATTTGGCCCTATTGAAATTGAAGAAAATCGGGTCAGAATTCGATATAGCTCCCATATATATTTTCCTCCGATTTAAGGTAAATGGGGCACCAAAGTCCCTATGTATCTTTCGATATGCGCGAAATTTTGCATAGTGTACTGAATTGAGACTAGAATGATGTGTGTCAAGTTTCGAGAAAATCGGTTCAGATTTCGATACAGCTTCCATATATCGTTTTGTCCGATTTTGGGTAAATGGTGCACCAAAGTCCCTACATATCTTTCGATTTGCACGAAATTTCGGACAGCGTATTTAATTAAGTCTAGAATTATGTGTGTCAAGTTTCGAGAAAATCGGGTCAGATTTAGATATAGCTCCCATATATATTTTCGTCCGATTTAAGGTAAATGGGACACCGAATTCCCTATATATCTATAGATTTTCACGAAATTTCGCACAGCGTATTTAATCAGGTCTAGAATTATGTGTGTCAAGTTTCGAGAAAATCGGGTGAGATATAGATATAGCTCCCATATATAGTTTCGTCCGATTTTAGATAAATGGTGCACCAAAGTCCCTGTATATCTTTCGAGTTGCACGAAATTTGGCACAGCGTAATGAATTAGGTCTAGAATGATGTGTGCTAAGTTTCGTGAAAATCGGTTCAGATTTAGATATAGCTCCCATATATAATTTCGTCTGATTTAAAGTAAAGGGGGCACCAATGCCCTTATATATCTTTCGATTTGCACGAAATTTGGCACGGTGTACCCAATTGAGTCTAGAATGATGTGTGTCAAGTTTCGAGAAAATCGGGTCAGATATAGATATAGCTCCCGTATACAGTTTCTTCCGACTTAAGGTAAATGGGGCACCAAAGTCCCTACATATCTTTCGATTTGCACAAAATTTGGCATAGCGTACTGAATTATATCCAGAATGATACATGCTAAGTTTCGAGAAAATCGGTTGAGATTAAGATATAGCTCCTACATATATTTTCGTCCTAAATATCTTTCTATATGCGCGAAAATTTGCATGGTGTACTCAATCGAGTTTAGAATGACGTGCGCCAAATTTCGATAAAATCGGGTCAGATTTATATATAGCTCCCATATATATTTTTGTCCGATTTAAGGGAAATGGGTCTCCAAAGTCCCTATATATCCTTCGATTTGCTACTTTCTCTACTAGTTTAAAATATTTTTTTCAAGAACTACATAAGGCGTAGAGTATTTAAAAAATATTTTTTTTTTCAAGGACTACATAAGGCGTGCACAAAGAGCTATAGTACTCACCGACTTTATCATCCGGATTGCCTTCTTCTTTTTTAGCACCATCGGCACCTTCACCATCCGGTTTCGGATCAACATATTCACTAAAATCATCGTCCAACATTGCATCAATTGCATCCCAATCGATGACATCACCAGCCGCATCGGGATCAGCATCAGCGTCCGCACCACCCGATGTTGTTGTCGTTGTCGGATCGGCCGGATTTTGGGCATTTGCATTGTCGGTTGACGCCGCCGTCGTTGTTGCCGTTGTATTGGCGGCATTCGTTGATGATGATGTGGTTGTTGTTGTAGTTGTGGTGAGATTTGTGGTTTGAATGATTGTTGTTGAGGATGAGATCGTTCCGTCAGCGTTAACGTTAGCGTCGTTTGAGTTGGTGGTGGTGGTTGAATGTTTCAATGAGGCACGTTTATTGGGTGATGTTGTGGAATTGGCGACACCATGATGGGAATTTGCAAAAGAGGAAGAAGAAGCAGCATTATTAGCATTATTACTACCGGCCATAGCAGCGCCGGCAGTGCCAGTCGCAGTGCCACCGCCGCTGGCACCGCCACTCCCACTGCCAGCCTTCAATGACTGTTGGTCTAAAACTTCTTTCCCCCTTTGTCTAAGACTACCGCTACCACTAACTGGCATAGCACTACCGCTACCACTACTACTATACTGGCGATTCGTGTTCGAATGTTGTGAGGTGTTGTGGGCGGCGACACGATCGCCGTAATCGTCGTACTCAAAGTACTCGGGCTGATCATTTATACTGACGAGATTACTGCGATCGCTGCCTGTTTCGTATTGTTGTTGTTGGTGGCGACTACTCCTCTTTGACGAGGCAGTAGCCATGGCTGATTGACGTGGTCCCCCCGAACGACTGCTATCGTATTGTTCGCCAACAGGTCCCTGCCGCTCGCCGCTGTTGCCGTGGCCATTGACCATCGCAGTGCCACCATGCGGCATTGATGCGGACGTGTGTGGATCAGGGCCCATCATCTGGCCGTGGTCGTCGACGGGCGAAAAGTTGTGGGCGTTTTGTGCGCTGGGAGGGTGCGGCAAGTTACGACGGCGTTTCATGTACGGTCCCGCTGGTCCATAGAGTTTTTCGTGTGTCGATCTGTCCAGGTCGAGGGACATGTGGTTGCGTCCCCGGGTCATGTCGTAGCGTCGGCGCGAGTCCCGAAACTGCGAGGGAGCCACGCCGCGCCTTGTCCAGCCCACGTCCGAGTCATAGGTAATGGTCACGATTTTGTCGTCGGTCACCAGGAAGTGCGAGTGGCTCAACGGGTTCGATGGATTGACATTGGCCCCCATGTACGATTGGCGTATATTGGTCTCGGAACCGTAGCGGCGCGAAAGGTCCTCGTCGAATTGGGCGGGATAGACCTCATCTTCGTAGCGAATGCGTCGCCGGCCCCAGCTCTTGGCGTGCAAGTCGTCGTAGTCTAAAGAACGCGACTGACCTTCGTGGAACATTTTTCGGCGATCAAGAGAGGTGCGACCTGTCGGTATACCGATTTTCGGTTTCTTGAGAATGGAAGGCGGCTGGGCACGACCCTCAGCAATGGGGACGGCCGACACCAGGGCATCCTCGCTAAGTTGGCGCGACAAACGCAACACGGACTGCGTGGGCAGTTGAGGGGGAGGGGCCAGGGAGGATTTGGCCTTTTTGTGCGCTGTTGGGGTCGGGGTATGGACATGGTAGGTGGGCACGGCGCCCAGGTCTAACTGTGGCGCCGTCAGGCCACTAACGAAATGCTGATCCACACATTCACCGCACATTGCCGGATCGGTGGTGGGCAGTGAAGGCTCCGAGGATGACGGTTGAAACATCGAAAGCGATGGCCTGCGCAACAGCTGCTCAGCCGTATAAGGATAGGTGATGGGATTATGCTGGGGATGGGGGTGGGCATCGATCAGACAATAGGGATCGGGACAGGCCCCAATGGTGAGGCCCGACGAGGCCAGGGCCGCATTCGTCGACAGCACCACCGGCTGGCTGCCGTTCTGGCAGTGACTGCAGGTGTTATCATAATGATCGCGTATATAGCCGACATAGGAGGAGGGCGACGAAGAGACGGTGTGGGCATGAACATGGGCTGCGGCCGAATCAGCTGTTAGGCCATAGCGAGCCGGTTGTTGGCGAAAAAAGTTGACAACGGGCGATGTCAGACGCTTAAGACCACGCAATGTAGTCGCGCTACCGCCACTGCCGGCAGCCGCCTCCGCTTCCAGAGCGTCTATACAACAGTCGGGTGCAAACCCAGGATCGGAAGGGAAATGCGTGAAATTGGCAGCATGCGCTTGATATTCGGGAAATTGTATGGTGGGAATCGCATGTGGTGGTAGTGGTTGTTGTTGAGGTGGAGGAGGTGGGTACTGATTTGGTGGTGGTGGATTAAATGTGTTGAGTTGTTGTTGTGTCTGTATCAGAGGATCTTGTGTAACGATTCGTGCATTGGGGACGACGCCGACTCCGCCGCCGGGGTCCATCACCATGAGATTGGGATTGGCCGGATCGAGAAAATACTGCTCGACCAGATCGCCACTATTGTCGGTCACCATGAGTTGGGTTGGCAGTTGTGGTGGTTGTGCTGGTGTTAGTCCAGCCGTTGCCGCGGCATGGGCTGCTGCGGCCGCCGCTGCGTTTGCCGTATTCGGTGGTGATTCACTGGCCGCCAATTCGGCAAGACGTTGTAGGTGCTCCAGCTGTTCGAGCAGCTGCATCTGTTGCGTTGTCGTCTGGACATGTGGTGGTGTGTGAAACGCCGCACCCATTGGCAAATAGTCACAGTCATCGACTTCGATGGTGTTCGAGCGAAAGCGTTCAAAGAAGCCACCCCTGCCGCCGCCGTCGTCGCCGCCACCTAAACGCATTGGCTGACCGACAGCTGTCATGCTGTTCGGTCCAAAATAAGAGCGCCAATTTCGTGGTAAGCTACTGTTACTTTTTTTTTTGGTTGGTTGGAATAGTATTACGATTGCAAATATTTAAGGGGGTGTGGTGGAGGGGCGGACCAGATAATTCATTTTGTGTGTAAACGTGTGAGTGTGTGTGTGTGGGAGGTGTTGTGTATTTTTAAACATTTTCCAACAGAGATAAATTGAGAAGAACCAGCGAGAGAATTGTTTTGCCATTGTTGGAGAAAGTTTAAGAAAAAGTTGTGGTTATTTTCCAAGTGTTTGTGTAGTGAGAAAGAGAGTATGTTGTATATGTGAGAGAGTGTTGGTGTTGTGTTATTGCACACGCAAGGCAAGTACATGCAAAGTAAGTAAGTGGTGGGTGAGTGGCAAGCCAAAACGAAGGAGCAGAGTTGTTGTTATTTGATTGTGAAAATATATTTTGTATAGAAGTTTAGTGAAAGAGAGATAGACAGAGAGAAGGATACAAAGAAGCCAAATGATAAGAAAACGTAATAACACGAAAAATCATAATGAAGAGTAATGATGTCCGTGAGTTGTGTGAACCAAGAGGGAGAGAGAGAGATAGAAATGGAGTGATGGGAAAAAGGGATAATTTTTTTGGGGATATTTGGAATCATGAGAGTAGGGAGCCATGAATTGAGGGAGTAGTTGGTGAGACAGAAGAATGATATGAAAAAAGACATAGTGATGGTTTTCGTTGTTGTTGTGATTGTCGTTCGTAGGCATTTTTTTTTTTGAGAAGCAATTCAAACACAAAATTAAGCGCAGGCGTCATTGAGTCGTTCGTGGTTGTTGTAGTTATTTTGTTGGTGGGTGGGTGGTTGGTTGGTGGTGGTAGTTGAGGTCGTGGTTGAGTAAGGAGTTGAAATCATAGTTGAGCATGTTTTTGGTTGTTGTTTTTTTATCAGTTGATTGTAACAAAAACGTAACACAAAGACAGGAACGAAAAAAGAACAAAGATATAGTAAACATAAAGAAAGTTGGCATGTAGTTGGCTTGTTTTATTTTGTATTTGTTGTTGGTTATTTTTTGTAAATTTTTGATTCGTTTTTCGTTAATTTGCCAGATTTTGTTTTCGAGGTTTTGATTTTGTTTGGTCATACTTTTGGTTTGCTATTGCCAGATTTTTGGGTAGGATATGTTTGATTTTTTTTGTCATATATATTTAATTGTCAGGAGTAGGGAGCGGGGTGAGATGCATATTTTATTCTTATGTTTTAAATTTTTCCCTTGCAAAAAAATTTCCTAATTTTTCGTATTTCACAAAGCTTTCAAAAAAGCAGTTTTTTCAAAAAATGTCCATTTTGTTTTTATCATAAAAAAGCTTTGATTTCAAGTTCATAATATCATTTTGTGTAAAAGCTTTAAGCTTTATTTCATATACCAATAACAAAAGTGAAAAAAGCTTTATTTGAGAGATAGATAGACACACACACACGAGAAAAACCGCGCATTCTTAGTTCTTCGAACTGTCACTACTCACCTGAGTCCACGTGACCCTCTTAACCTTTCCGATTGTGTTGAAAACGAACTCGAGGTCACACTAACCAATGACTCAATATCCGAATCACCAAAATCGCCCATATAATCTTTGTCGGGCGATAGCGAATGTCGTGGTCGCATTCGCGTCTCCATTGAGTGTAGATCACTGTCCGAGAGCCCCGTATAGTGTCGCTCCCAGCCACCACCACCAGTACTACGATATAGTGGTTGATGATGCGGTTGACGTGTGCGATGTCGACCAAAACGACCGTTACCCGAAGATAAACGTTCGTCAAATTCTTGACCCAAACGATCACGTATCATGGCGCTGCGTGATGTTTGGGGGACCTGGAAGAAAGGGGAAAATAGAGAATTTTTTTATAGTTATGCAAATAGGAAAAAAGGGAGATATGTATGTAAAAATTTATAGAAGATAAATAGGGCATCTGTATGTCTTAGGGTCTGTATGTCTCCTATAGAAAAAATAGATTCTAGAGGTCTTCTATAGAAAGAAAGTCTATAGACTGGATACCTTCTAGAGGTATTCTATAGATTGAAGACCTTGAGGAGGTCTCAAATAGGAAGTTTATATTCTATAGACATAGGGCATCTGGGGGTTTTTGAGAGAAGATTAAGTTTTGGTTTGCTTAATGAGGTCTTTTTTGAAAGATACGATTCTAGTGGTCTTCTAGACTGAATATCTTCTGGAGTCTTCTATGGACTGAAGACATTCTAGAGGTATTCTATAGGAAAAAAATCTGGTATAGACAGAAGACCTTCTAAAACCCCGCTAGATGACTTTTTAAGGGTCTCATAGAATAAAGACCTTCTGAGGGTCTTTATAGGCATAAGACCCTATACACAAAAAAAGTCTTCTAGGTAGGCAAGATAATCCGAAGGACTTCTATAGAAATTGTGTAGAGGGTCTATTGAAGTTTTCTTTCTGTTTTTTTTTTTTGATAGAAGAACAGGTTTTTGTTTCTTGTATGAAGAAGAGCTTCGGGAGGTATTTTAGGAAATATAAGAGTCTAGTGGCCATCTAGACTGAATATCTTCTGAAGGTGTTCTATGGCCAGAAGACCTTCTAGAGGCCTTTTATAGGAAGGAGAAAATCTTGTATAGGCAGAGAGGCTTCTGAGGGTCTCTTATAATAAAATCTGATATAAATGGAGGACCTTCTGAGCTTCTCTTATAGAAAAAAGACCATCTATAGGCATAAGACTCTAAAGACATATAAGAGATTCTGAAGGTCTTTTATAAAAAGTGTATCTTCTAGACGGTCTGTTGAGGGTTTTTTGAGAGGTTTCTTGTATAAAGAAAATCTTCATGATACGATTCTAGTGGTCTTCTAGACTGAATCCCTTCTGAAGGTTATCTATGGAAGGTTTTCTCCTTCTGAAGGATTTCTTCTCCCTATAGAAAACCTCTATAGGGAGCTATAGAGGCTTCTATAGGAATAAAAAAAACTTGTGTGGGCAGAGGGCCTGCCAAGGTATCTTACAGAAAGAAGATCTTCTGAAGACCCTCTATAGGCATAATACCCTAAAATCTTCGATATAGAGAAGATATTCTAAAAGTCTTCTATAGCAAGTATATATTTTATCGTGCCTTTTGGGGGTTAATTTTAGACAGGATCCTCTGATGACACAAGATAAGTTCCTTGAGGTTTTCCACGCACAAAAGTCCTTCTGGCGATTTTCTGTAGACAAAAGACATTTTGGAGACCTTGGATAAATATCAGATCTTGTGGAGGTCTTCCACACAATGACGACTTTCAAGAGGTCTCTGTATGCAAAAGAGCTTTGTAGAATTTTTATAGTCATCTTCTATAGACAAAAACTGCAGGTGTTCTTTGTACAGATATTATTTTAGACAGGAAACCTTATACATATATTCTCTATATTGTTTCTAGGAAGAAGTCCCGCTTAAATTATATATTAGGAAAAGACTTTATGTAGAAGACTGAAGATATTCCATTGACAGAAGACCTCTTGATGTATATAGGTAATATATTGAATAAAAGACCTTCGGTAGGATGTCTTCTGTTGATAAACGATTAAGAAGAAGAAGATCGTCTTAAAATACAAGACCCTCTGAATGGCTTATTAAAGACTTTCTATATATGATGATTTAAAAAAATCTGGCCTTTAAAATAACCTATAGAACTCCGTTATCCCGTTTTTAAAAACAAAAAAAAAATCACCTTCATCAGGACTTCCTCTGTAGGCAAACTACCTTCTTCTAAATATAGAAAACCCTCTAGATATCTTCTTACATGGGTCTTATCCGAGACATTTTTGAATAAATGTGATGCTTCAAATAGCTTCAAGACCTCCTCTAATTTTCTGCATAAAAAATAAATTCGTTTATCTCCAAATACCTACCTTTGGCAGTTGTCTCTTTTTCGGTGAACCCGTTGGTGTGGCAGTCGCCGAGCGCGATTGGAAGCGTTGTTGCTGTGATGCCGAGCCAACGACACCACTATCGTACGGCGCAACAATCGATGATGATGTGACACCACTATATGGTGGTATACTACCTATATCGTGTCCCCGATATTCTGGTGGTGACAGGGAACCACGACGTGGACTTGTACTGCGATAATAACCGCTGTGATAGACATCACCGGGTGCCGCCGAATGGCTACGCTGGCTAAGACTCATGCCACCAGGACCGGTCGTTGGGGCACCATTACGACGAAAATAGCCACTGGGAGCACCGGGGGCCTATATTTTATGAAACAAAAAAAGTTTTTGGTTAATTTAGAATTTTTCAAAATAAAAAGGGAGATTTTGTTATTCGTTTTGTTTTTTTAGATTTGAAAAATAAAAGTTTTCAAAATATGTGTAAATATTTTGAAAAATTTAAAAAGAAAATAGTATTTTTTTAGTTAGTATTCAAAAAAATAATAAAATATTGTTATAAACCAAAAACTCCTTTTAGAGAAACCTTAAATAAAAATTTGCATAGATTTTTTTTCAGTTAATTAACTACATTTCAAAGAATATTGAAAATACATGAATGGAAGTAACTTCACACTGAGAAAGAGAAAAATGTAAAAAATAACAGAAACATGGAAAACTTGAAGAAAATATTGCTGTTGTTGTTGTTTTTGGCATAGCAAGGACAATAGCTTTTCATACAGCTGTTTGTTTGGTCTATGGGTTTTTGGAATGAAGTAGTGAAAATGAAACTTTAAAATTATTTGAAATTAAATATTGTTAGTGGAAAAATAGTTCGAAAAAGGTGTAGCAAAAATATGGAATTTTCTGTAGTAGTGGAAAATAAAAGGTATGTACATATGTATATGTTCTTATAATAAAATGTTTAAATGGAGTTTCAAAGTTTAGCAATTTGTAAACTAAAGGACTTATCAAAATGTTCGTTTGTTTTTGGAATTTGCTTCTAACTGAAAAAGACTGTGAGCGGTTAATTTATGTTTCCTTTAAGTAAAAGTTCTAAGTATCTTCCATCCTCGGAAAGTCTACTAAATATCCTATGTAGAGCGTAGATCTACTAAAGATATTTTCTAGGATATTTTCCAGACAGTTCGAAATTTAAGAGGATTATACGACAAGCTTCTAGAGATATTTTATAGAAAGAATAGCTTTAGGAGGTCATTTATAGAATGAAGAGCTACTGGATGGACAGAAAACCTTTTACAGGCTTTATATAGCTGGGAGACGTTCTAGAAGTCTTCTACACAAAGAAGATTTTCTATAGACAAACGATTTTTGCAAGATTTTTATAAAGATATTCTATAGACAAAATTTAGGAGGTCATTTATAGAATGAAATGAATGGATGGACAGAAAACCTTTTACAGGCTTTATATAGCGGGGAGACGTTCTAGAAGTCTTCTACACAAAGAAGATTTTCTATAGACAAACGATTTTTGCAAGATTTTTATAGAGATATTCTATAGACAAAATACCTGCAGATGCCTTATATAGATGACAGACCTACTAAAGGTCTTCTACACAAATAAGATGTTCAAGAAGTTTTCTACTCAAAAGATTTTTGCAGGATTTCTATTTCTATAGAAAGTCCCACAGAATACTTTAAAACAAGCGATATAATGGTAGAAGATCCTCCGAATGTAGCATTCTTACATTATTATGTCGCATTTATGATCCGAATTGGATGAAATTTGGCACAGCTCATTTGTTTGGCCCAAGAACGAACCTTATTGAAATTGGGAAAAATCGGTTCAGATTTAGATATAGCTCCCGTATATATTTTCGTCCCATTTTAGGTATATGGTATACCAAAGTCCCTATATATCTTTCGATTTGCATGAAATTTGGCACAGCGTAATAAATTAGCTCTAGAATGATGTGTGTTAAGTTTCCTGAAAATCGGTCCAAATTCCGATATAGCCCACATATATATTTTCGTCCGATTTTAGGTAAATGGTATACCAAAGTCCCTATATATCTTTCGATTTGCACGAAATTTGGCACAGCGTAATAAATTAGCTCTAGAGTGATGCGTGTTAAGTTTCCTGAAAATCGGTCCAGATTTAGATATAGCTCCCATATATATTTTCGTCCGATTGTATGTCAATGGTGTACCACGAACCCTATATATATTTCGATTTGCACGAAATTTGGCACAGCGTAATGAATTAGCTCTAGAATGATGTCTGCCAAGTTTCCTGAAAATCGGTTCAGATTTAGATATAGCTCCCATATATATTTTCGTCCGATTTTATGTCAATGGCGTACCAAAGTCAATATAAATCTTTCGATTTGCACGAAATTTGGCACAGCGTAATGGATTAGCTCTAGAATGATGTGTGTTAAGTTTCCAGAAAATCGGTACAGATTTAGATATAGCTCCCATATATATTTTCGTCCGATTTTAGGTAAATGGTATACCAAAGTCCCTATATATCTTTCGATTTGCACGAAATTTGGCATAGCGTAATGAATTAGCTCTAGAATGATGTGTGTTAAGTTTCCTGAAAATCGGTACAGATTTAGATATAGCTCCCATATATTTTTTGTCAGATTTAATGTAAATGGTGTACCAAAGTCCCTATATATCATTCGATTTGGACGAAATTCGATAAAAATTCGACGTCTTTTAGGTTTCATCTGTTGGATATGCCGAAAGTGGTGAAGGGTATCATATAGTCAACCCCGTCCGACTTTACTACTTTCCTTACTGGTTTAAATATACGTTGATGGATTAACTATGGATTAAAGATCTACTCTATATAGAACCTCTTTTTAAGACAATCGGTATTTTGATGTAATAATTGTAATGCCTTATAGGGTTTGCATAGGTAGAAAACTTGCCGGAGTTGGTCTGTAGACAGAAGACCTATTGCATTGCGAAGACTTTCAAGAAGTCTTCTATATATATATATATATATATATAGAAGCCCTGCAGATATTCTATAATCATATGACTGTGTATGCCACGGCGAGCTTTTGGAGTTCTTCTATAGGAAAAGGAGATTCCGGATGTTTTTTTATAGAAAGACGACCTATTGCAAGTCTCGTATAGACAAAGGTGAATCTTCAAGAGGACTTATAGAAGCAAAAGATTATTCTACGATTTCCACAGAGATATTCTATAGACATAAGAACTGGCCGTATTCTATAAACATAGGACCCTATACAGATCGCCAGTAGACAGATGGTCTTCTGAAGATTTTTCACAGAGAGGAGACCTGTTTACCTTGTGCAGATTTTAAACCGAAGACGTTCTGAGGGTTTTCTTTAAAAAGAATCTCTTCTGAAGATTTTCTATACAAAAAAAAAAAAAAAAAAAATATCTTCGACTGGCCTGTAAGCAAACGAACTTCGGAAGGTTTTCTAATGATATATGACCCTTTAGATGACCTACTATAAATTGGGTCTTATTATAATACCCTTCACCACACTGTGGTACAGGGTATTATTTCTTTGTGCATATGTTTGTAACAGGCAAAAGGAAACGAGATAGATACATGGTTCCTTTTGAGAATATCCATAGAATCATGAGTGGTAATTTTCGGGAAAACCGGATCCTGGGCGATGTTACCACTGCTAACATGCCGGTCAACTTCGATCATTGTATGTATTCTATGGCTCTTCCATAACTGGATGACATTTCAAGAGTTGTTCTATAGGAGGACTGTAAATGTATTCTTCACATTTACACTAAATCCAAGGAAATATATATGGGAGCTATATCTAAATCTGAACCGATTTTCACGAAACGGACGAAAATATATATGGTAGCTATATTTAAATTTGAACCGATTATCACGAAACTTGACAGACATCACTCTAGGCTCAATTCAGTACGTTATGCACCATTTACATGAAATGGGAAGATACTATATATGGGAGCTATATCTAAATCTGGACCGATTTTCACGAAACTTGCAGATATCATTCTAGGCTCAATTCAGTACTCTATGCCAAATTTCGTGCAAATCGAAAGATATATGTGGACTTTGTTGCGCCATTTACCTGAAATCGGACGAAACTATATATGAGAGCTATATCAAATCTGGACAGATTTTCACGAAACTTGGCAGCCATCATTCTAGGCTCAATTCAGTACTCTATGCCAAATTAAGTGCAAATCGAAAGATATATAGGTAGTTTGGTGCACCATTTACATGAAATCGGAAGATACTATATATGGGAGCTATATCTAAATCTGGACCGATTTTCACGAAACTTGACAGACATCTTTCTAGGCTCAATTCAGTACTCTATGTCAAATTTCGCGCAAATCGAAAGATATATAGGGACTTTGGTGCACCATTTACATGAAATCGGGGGAAACTATATATGAGAGCTATATCTAAATCTAGACCGATTTTCACGAAACTTGGCAGACATCATTCTAGGCTCAATTCAGTACGTTATGCCAAATTTCGTGCAAATCGAAAGATATATAGGAACGTCGGTGCACTATTTACATGAAATCGGGCGAAAATATATATGGGAGCAATATCTAAATCTCGACCAATTTTCACAAAACTTGGCAGATATCATTCTTGGCTCAATTCAGTACTCAATGCCAAATTTTGTGCAAATCGAAAAATATATAGGCAGTTTGGTGCACCATTTACATGAAATCGGACGAAACTATATATGGGAGCTATATCTAAATCTGGACCGATTTTCACGAAACGTGGCAGACATCATTCTAGGCTCAATTCAGTACGTTTGGCCAAATTTAGTGCAAATCGAAAGATATATAGGGACTTTGATGCACCATTTACATAAAATGGGGCGAAACTATATATGGTGGCTATATCTAAATCTTGACCGATTATCACGAATCTTGGCAGACATCATTCTGGACCTAATTCAGTACGTTATGCCAAATTTCGTGCAAATCGAAAGATATATGTGGACTTTGGTGCACCATTTACATTATATCGGACGAAAATATATATATGGGAGCTATATCTAAATCTTGACCGATTTTCACGAAACTTGGCAGACATCATTCTGGGCTCAATTCAGTACGTTATACCAAATTTTGTGAAATTGCAATATATATATATATATATATATAGGACTTTGGTGCACCGTTTACATTAAATCGGACGAAAATATATATGGGAGCTATATCTAAATCTGAACCGATTTTTCCTAATGTCAATAGGGTTCATCCTTGGGCCAAACAAATGAGCTGTGCTAAATTTCATCCAAATCGGATTATAAATGCGACCTGTACTTTGTTTACAATTTAACACCAACAGACGGACAGAC